CGTTAAGGTTCATGATAGTCTGTGAAATTAGAGGGTCCGAGGTTCGATTCTTTCCAAAGTGGAAGAAATGTATTGTAATTTCTTTGCATTTTAGTTATTTTTAGTTTAATTTTCGAATTAGGAACTTTGCCACAGAAATATTAAAAAATGCAAAAAATACGTGTAGAATTCCTAAAAGTAAATTCTACTTTGTAAAAAGTAAAAGTTTTCTTTTCATTTATTTGTTATTGTAATTCACACTAATTCAAATTTACGAAATAAAACTTTGTCACAAAGTTTCAAAGAGTTTTATATGATAAAGAAAATTTTCTTATGAGAATAAATGTACAATAAAAAAAGAATTGCTTCCTGTACATCTCTGAATAAAAAACGTTCAAAATCGTAAAAAAATTAAAATAAATATAGAATTAAAGTGTTGATCGTGTGAGAGATTTGATAGTTTCGCTTGATGAATATTTATTTTCGACTCTTTATTTTGCTGACTAATGAAGTTGATTATACAGTTTGAAATTTGACTTCTGTTGAAATAAAAATTGCGCTCACGCCCTCTAACGAGGTGCTTTTTTTGTCTTTCAAAATCGGCACTGTGTGTGTAATACGACACGAGCGTTTTATTATATATTATATAGAGAGAGCAAGAGAGAGAATACTTTTTCTCTTACAACTTTTGCCGGGCACGTGTGACTTGAGAGTTTACGATTTCGACGAAAATTCTAGGTTCACCCATATTGGACCAGGGTCGTTTTCTGTAGGCAGGCACCCACTGACTTTGAAATGTTACACTGGGTCTGTGAACCAGATGTGCATTTTCAATTTTTACTATATATAGTTAAAGGAATCATAAACGAAATAGAAATATTGCGCGGGGTTTATATACCTGCTAAGTCAGCCTTGATTTTTTTTGTACAGAAGGTTTAAAATCTCGACCGATTATGTAAATCGATAGGTTCACAGCACGTGTGCATGATTACCTGTGAACACCTTTCGGAAGCTAAATGATATTCCCGCCCTTTTTCTGCACGGAAACCCTTTCTTTTTTTTAATGTATAATGAGCGACAGACTTTTTTTTTAAAAAGTTTTCTGTAAATTCTTGGAGCTGTGGAGTATTACTTTCCATTTGGTAATTTTTTTCATTTTCTTTAAATAATCGGTGACTTGAGTATTTTATTAAATTAATATTTCTATGTACATCCAGAAAAAAAATATACTTTACTCAGAGCCTACAAGACTTTTTATTTGTTTCAAATTCTTTGGTTCGAATAAATATTTTATTTGTATGAAATATAATTTTTATTTTGAAAAAAAGTTTAGTAGGCTTTGTGACACACATACTTTTATTTAACTAAATTAAATTATATTTGGTCCAAATAAAATTTTTTTCCAGGTTTACCAAATAATGGAGGAATCTGCGGAGGATATGAAAGTGATGAATGTCATTTTAATTAATAAATTTTACTATTTTAATTGTTACTACTTTTAATTTAAAAAAATTTTGACTATTTAAAATTTATATGAAATTAAATCAATCAATAAAAATAAATTTTTAGAAAGAAAGTTATACTTTGAAACTTCAAGAACTTAGAGGAAAGAAGGATTTTGAATAATTTAGAAAAACATATTGGGTGACGAAATTTTTTCGGTTTTCAGTAACAATTTCTTCTTTATTAGATGGATTTTTGTTGAAAACTTTTGTTGTTTAGGGATGTATTTATAAATGTTGGGTTATTAGTCACATTTCTGGCCCATTCTCAATTCTGACGGATTATTACGAAGTGTCTAGCTACGCGAGATTTCTTTTATTTTTGTCTGGGGAAAGTGCATTTTGTCTTTAAAAATATACTCTCTTGGTGTTTTTGATTATAAAGCCAAGTTCAAAGGTATCATGTGTGCATCGTGAGAAATGAGAAGGTCAATTTGGCGTTTTGTATTTTTCGAATCAACTTTTTATTAATATGGGAATTATTTTTTATTATTTACATAGAAAATAATAATTTTAATTAATTTATTTAATAATTTACTTCATAATTTGTTAAATAATTTTACAATTATTTATTTGATCAGAAGAATTGTTAAGTTAAATATTTTATTAAGTAACTTATTTTATTCATGACAAAGATTTGTATAAATTTTTATTGTATTTTTATAATTAATTTATTGTTTCATAGTTTTATTTAATATACTTTTAAAAAATTTATTTAAGTATTACCTTACTGAAAAATTGGGTTTTACTTTGTAAACAATTAAACTTAAATTTTCAAAATTTCTTCAAAAAAAATTTCAAAATTTGGTTTTTTGATAGGATTTTAAAACGCAATTTGTACGTTAGTATTCAAATTACTTTTTTAATATTTGAAGCAGAGCATCATTTATAATCATAAAATTTTAAATTGAAGAAAATGCATTTTTGATTCAAATAAACAATTGTTTATTTTAATAGAAAATTATTACTTACATTTATTATCAAAATAATTTTTTTACTGAAATCAATTAAATGGTATTAAATACCGAAATTATTGGTCCGATTACAATTTTTGTGTGATTCAATTAAAAATTATTTGATTCAAGTAAATATTTACTTGATTCAAGTAATAAATAAATACTTATTTTGCTAATAAACAAGAAATTTGTTATTTGACTCAAATGATTTATTTTTCCACGCTGTAAACTCTATGTGCAACCTTTTTAATTCGAAAATGTCTCTGCGTATAAAAAAAATTCAATGTCGACGTTTTAATTTTTCTTTTTTTTTTCATGCGCACTCTCGCGTGATAATTAAATTGTAATGCATGTCGTGAAGCGTGTGGTACGTGAATTGAAGAATTATCATTAACAGAGAAAAGTCGAGGAATCCTCAATTTCACGTATGGCGAGTCTCGATTTTTGAAATCTCTCCACGTTTCACTTGCTGTGTTCGATTTTACCGTTGATTCCAATGAATTTCGTGGAAATCATTATTATCGATGTATCGAAACTGTTTTGCATCTCACCGCTTCTTTTAGAAAGAAAGAAAAAAGAAGAAGATGAAGAACTTCTTACTTGGAAGTCTTTTACATGAAATTCCTTTTGACGAATTTTATTACCTTTCGAATTTATGCGATTCTAATTTTACCCTTATATAATACACATCGAGTGAGAGAAACAAAAATTTTTACATTTTTTCAGGGAGAAAAAATTCCCAAAGAAATAAATTTCTTTTTACGATGTGTGATTATCTATTTTATGCGACACTTTCCTAGCCATATCTTTCTTTTTCCGATCAATGTTTCACTGGATTTTTCCATTTTTATGGGATTTTTCTCCTACCTGCGAGAAATGCGAAAGCTCAATATTCTGGAATCTTTGGGATCATCTGACTGTACTTATAACTGTTTGCTTTCATCAACACGTATGTATGCAGTGTTAAAAAACGTGTCACGCCCATTGTTGTCCCTCTCACGTTCGAAATCTCAAAAATCAGGTGTTGATCTTGAAGATTGGAGGCGTGTTTATAGCTCGTAAAAACTAGCGGAAGGGAATTTTTTTACTTTTTTTCTGGAATATATAGATATCTATATATTTCGATGAACACGAAAACACGGTGTAAACCCACCACCAGGAAGCTGGACAAGAAAAATGCTTGTTTTCCTTTTTAACAGATCTCTCGGATTCTGTATATGACACTAATCTTGACATTGAGATCTTAATTCATTGTTGTCCGACAACCGTTTTGTATTCAGGAGTAGAAACAGGATCATAAAGATATATCGGTGGTTAGATGTAATCTCAATGGAAGGTGTCAAATAATTTAGGAGACAAATATCTAATATCAATTGGAAGTCGTTGTAATTAACTGTGTGATTAATTTCTTTCGATATATTTTTAATTTTTATTACATGGGAAAAAATGTGACGTTTACCGTATATACTTTCAGTAAATAACTAAAATTATCTGAAATTTCTTCTCATTTCGAAATCCATTTTCGAAATCAGGTTTCAATTTCTGATAAATTCGAGGATAAATTTTATTATTTTAGGAGCAAATTTTACTATTTCTGATGTAAATTTTAAATTTCTGATAATTTCTACTGAACTTGCAAAGTAAATTTTACCATTTGTGCAGTAAATTTTTCATTTCTTTTTATTTGAACTATTTTTGGATTTTACTATTTTGGTAGTAATTTAAGAAGAAAAAATTTTACTGCTTTATTAGTAATTAATAATTATTTTTCAATTAATAAATTAAAAAAAAATAAATTTAAATAATAAAAATTAATAAACTTTAGTGCAGAAAATATTAAGAATTGCAAAAAATATTCTAAAAAGTTTATAATTTTAATTTGTAAACAGTAAAACGTATCTTTTATTTTTTTTGTTATAATATTCGTTGTTTTGAAAATTAGTTTAAAAATGCCATTGAAACGGTGAAATAGGAGAAAAAAATAAGAGAAAAGAAAAAATTATTTTTAATTTTGCCTTTCTCGTTATAAAATTGTCTTTAATCTTTTTTTCTTTCTGTCTGCACCACTTTTTTCCTTCGTTTTGTACACCATTAAAATACTGAACAAGTTTTCTTTACAAATCTTCGTATTCACTGTGTCATCGTTGTCGCATTTTTGTATATATTAATTTGTTCCTTGTCGAGCTCTCAAAAAATAAACGACTAAGGAAAATAAGTTAGTATTTGAAATTTATTTCTGGCAAAAGTATATTCTTTCTTTCATGATGAAAATATAATTTATTGTGTTTATATTCAGTGGAGTAATTTTCTTCATTTTGCTATATTTAAATTAGGGCTTTGATAGGGAAAGTAGGACAAAATTCTCTTGCTAGAAAATAGGAAAATTGGCTAGCTCTTTGTTTCAATTATTTTAAATTGGAGAAATTTTTTTGCTTTTGAAAAAAACAGACATTTCTCGAACATTCTTTTTTTTATAAAAATGAATTTTATGTTTTATTTCTTTTTTTTTATTTGTCTGATGGTATTTTTGTAATAAATTGCAATCTAATGGAAATTAATTTACCTAGTCGAATGAGCCGTCCTTGAATTGTCCCAAAAAGCAGGATCACGAAGATTCCTAGGACAAAACAGCTGGTGGCCTTCATCCCGTCCATCCTGTCAATCGGCGAAACAATGGCTAATGTCGACGCGACATGAGTCTCTCTTCTGAAACGGACAAAAGGCAAAATTTAAGATTTCCAAGTACTTGCACTCTAAAAAAAAGGAAGTTAAATCTTAACTCGCCATACGGAATTCTATAACAGTCGCACCCTTTTGGAATTAAAGCCAAAGGAGTAAAATTTGTAGAAAAAAAATTTTTATTTCTTTACTGCATTCTTTACAAAATAACTCCTAAAAGGAGTTAAAATTTCAATTATCTTTAGAAATAATTACATTCTTCTCCAAAATTCAATTATTTTCAAAAATTTTAATAAAATTCTTCGCAAAATTTCAATTATTTAAAAAAAATTTCCTCAATTCAATGATTTTCAATATCTAATAAAAATTTTATAGAAATTCAATTATTTACAAATTTTATATAAATTTATTCGCAATAATTCAATTATTTTCATAAATAATAAAATTTTTACAACGATTCAATTACTTTCGTAAATAAAATTCTTTTTAGGAATTTAATTATTTTAATAAATAATAAAACTCAATGCTAAATTTCAATTATTTTTAATACAATTTTAATAGAATTTCTCGACAAATGTAATTATTCTTACAAATTTTATTAAAATTATCAAATTCTATTAGAAGTTTCTAATAAAAATTGATTTTAAAATGAATTTCAGTTAAAATTTTAGATTATATTTCAAAAAATTAAAATCATTAGAGTTTAAATTTTGAGAAATAATTGAATTTTAAAAAAGTTTTATAATTTAAAATCTTTGAAAATCTGAATTTCTCATATTTTTAACTAACAAAATTCTGTGGAATTAATTTTCTTTTTTTTGAGAAAGTTTAATTGCGGATTTTTTTGAAATTATTTGAAGTTTTTATTTTCTAATATATATTTAATATTAAAGAATTTACGAATAATTAAAATTTTGTAAAATTGTATTGTATAAGCAAATGAATTTGAAAATTCTAAAAGAATTTTTTCAAAAATTATTAAAAAGAAAGCATTTATAGAACAATTTTTGTTAAAAACACAAAAAAAAATTTAATTTTGGAAAAGTTACCAATAAATTATTGCAGAAATCCAATTATTTTCAAGGGTAATCAAATTCTTCGCAGAAATTTAATTATGTTAAAAAATAATAAAATTCTTTTTAGGAATTCAATTATTTCTATACAAATAATAAAACTCATCGCAGAATTTTAATTATTTTAAATACAATTTTAATCGAATTTCTGGAAAAATGTGATTATTCTTAAATATTCTATTAAAATTCGTCGAAAAAATTCAATTATTAAAAAATTTGTTGATAAAATTCTTTATGGGAATTGAATTTTAAGAAACATTCAATTATTCAATAAATTGTTTATTTTTGTAGTTAAATAATTAAATTCTAGTAGAATTTTCTAATAGAAATTGCCAAAGAACTTTTTCGAAAATTATTAAAAATAATCGATTTAAAGAAGAATTTTAGTTAAAAATTCTTGAAAATAATAATTGAATTGATAATGATTTTATCACTGGGTCATCTTTAATTATTATAAAACATGAAGAAATCGATCACTCCGATTTGAAGACTCGGTGTTATCGATATCTTCATGTTTTACAGTTATTAAGTTATGAAAAATTTAATATATAGTTTGGAGGAAAATGTTCTCTTATTTGACGCGGACTGGTTATATTTTTGTCAGTAATTGGTCCGTAAATGGTCCGTAATTTTTCATTTTTGGTCCGTAAAGTCCGTATTTTTAAATACTTTCACTGGTTTGAGCCCTGCTATTTGTTTTCATAGTATTTTTTTCATTTTCGATTTTTCGAACTATTTTTTAGTACAAAACAAATGGTGTTTCTTTTCTCTTTTTTTCATATTTTCTATATTATATACATATTCGCCCCTTTTCTTTTCTCTTTGAACGCATATGTATATATACGCGACGTGAATTTGATTTTCTCTTCTGCATCTTTTGGCGCATTGCCAAAATTCTGAAAAACGCACTCCACACTGAGGACAGCTCTAACGATTTTAGATACTTCCCTAAAATATACATGTTTCCTCTTTCCATATAATGCAGGCAAAAATACGCACGTTCTCGTATACATAAGTCTACGTGCGTATATGCTCGAAAATCCTATAGTATATGCGATTATGAAAAATCCAACGTGGCTTAGCGAAAATTTTACGTCGTGCACAGCTGATGTTTACGTCGCGTCTTTCTCTCTCTCTCTTTCTCACTCTCTATAGAATTTGATAAATATAGCGAGACGAGGAGCTTCTTCCGTTCTTGTATCGAGAGGAATGACATTTAGATTCTTTATAATATGCGTATTTTTAACTTTCTTCCCCTCCCGATATTTATTTCATAGACAAGTCACATTTTAACGTCTAAAAGACATCTTTTAAGTTTTATAATGAGCTTGAAAAACCTTTTAAATTTTTATGTCTTTTAAATTGGTTGATGCTTTTAGGCATACAAGATTCATGATGGACAGGACATATCATTTTTTTAAATTCTCATACTCTTTGCATATAGATTTCTTTAGAAATTTGCCATTTTTTGATGTGATTTTTTCTAAAAAAATTAATTCATTCAAATTAGTAACCAATCGACCATTAGTAACCAAATAACCGTATTTAGGTCTTTTTATCACGGAATATAATCAAAAAGCGGCTATAGCAGAAAGCAAATATTAATTTAAATTAGGTTCGAAAATATTTATTTTGAAAAAAGCACTATTTTAAAAATAGAAAAATATTAATTCGAAATGGAAATATTTATTTACTGATAAAAATTATTAATTTACATATTATCAAAATTATTATTTGGAAAGTATATAAATTTTATTGTTAGTAATAAAATTATAATTGAAAGTAAAAAAAAGAGTAGGTAGGGATTTTTATTGTTAGTAAGGAAATATTAACTTGGAGGGGAAGTTTCGATTTTGCACCATATTTATACGTGAGGAGGTCAGAAAGGAAACTTCCTGTCGAGAAATATCGAAACAATACAAACATGCTTTTTCGGTAGCAAGTGGAAAACACGTGACGCACAGATTTTTGAAAGAAAAACTCTCGGAGTGTTTTGTTTTTAATGAACAAATTATTCATGATGTCAAGTTAAAAGTAGCCTAGATTCGAAGATTTTTCAAATGTTTCTAAAAGTTCTAAACATGTTGTAGTAAACGAAATTTAATCATTTCTTCTTTAAATTTTAGTATATTTTACTTTATTTATAGATCTACTTGTTATAAAGTTAAATTTTGATAATTTTATAAAAATATAAATTTGAATGCAGTAGACAGTTGAATATTGTGAAAAGAAACAAGATTGAAGCCTAATTAAAAAGGCACCGAGCTGTCTGAAATTTGCATTCCGAAGGGACTAATCTTCATTAAATCCTGTCATCTAGTGACGTTTAAGGAGTGAGTCATTAAAATTCGCTCAAGCATCATATAGTAGCATGAATTATGTAATGAACTAAACACGTGGTCATACGTAGGTCGACGAGTTGTAAGAAAAGAAATGAGAGTTTCCGGTTGGCTGCGAAATTAGGCGCATTGTCTTCTTACACGCAAATGTACAGATTCATATCTACACTATACATACAGTTACAAACTATTGCAATTGGTTAAAAATGCGTTATTGGTTCAATTTTTTAAACTGTTAAAATAATTATTCGTCTAAAAATTTTTCGACATATTTTTTACACTGAATTCGTATAATTGAAAAATATTAAAATTTCCGTTTGAATTTGAATTCAAAAAGGTTTTTTTTAAATTCTCATAGAATTTTTCCGTACTTTACTAAATTTCCGATTGATATAGAAAATTGTAAATTTCGTCCTTAAAAAACAAAAAGGGGGAAAAGGATAAAAAATTTGGTGCAATTGACTTGGAAAATTGAGGATTAGAAGAGTTAATAATAAAACAAAGTGGTGTCAGTTTGTAAAAGAGATTGGAATGCCTCGGAGAGCACGTTAATTACTTCATGTTTGACTGGCTCTATAACTGCTACGAAAGAAGAAAATGGATTGTAGGTTTTAATACTAGGAGAAGCACCTCTGGAATCTCGCGCAGAAGTCTCTCTCGTCTCTCTTTCTCTCAACTGTTGCCACAATATATAATATTGTAGAATTTTAATATTTCCGCGAAAAGTAATTAAGACATTTACTTCTGAAGTAAGAAAAAACCAAAAAAAGACGACTTTTACAAGCGTCTCCATATTTCATTTTTATCCGCACTTTTGCACCGCGTATATTTGTCGTCAATTATTGCCACAAGAGTATTCAATTAACCGAAAAAATGGGTTTGTGATAGGAAACTACATGAACATAAATAGTATTTAGGCTTTTTATTAAAAAACAGTCAAATAATTCGTTATTTAAATAATTTTATTTTTTGTAAACTTTATATTACTGAAAAAAACTTTTCTGGCTATTCTTACTATTTTCTGAATTTTACTATTTCTATTTTTATTTATTCTATATAATAAATTTTAATTAAAAAATCAAAATATATTTCAAAGTCGTAGCTAAATTCACTCTAAAAATAGTTTAATTTGCTTCTTAAATAATAAAAATTGTAAGAAATTGAAAATTTATATCGGGAATGTGGTAAAATTTACTTTAGAAATAAAAAAATTGATATGTAGAAATGATTAGAAATGAAAACTATTATGTATACGATTCTTCCAAAATAGTCAAATTTACTCTCAAATTAATTAGATGTCAAAAAAAAAAAAATATTTACTTCAGAAATAGTAAAATTTGCATTTAAAATATAATAAAAATTGTCACAGATTTACAATTTATTTTGGAAATGTTGAAATTTGCTTTGAAAATAATAAAAAATGATAAAAATGAGTGGAAATAACAACTTTTTAAATCTAAAATGGTAATGTTTATTCTGCAGGTAAGTAGAATTTACTCCTAAAATTGTAAAAAATTAAGTTTGCTTTTTAAATGGTAAAATTTTCTTCCGAAATAGTATAAAAAATATATTATAAATTTACTTCAAAAATAGTAAAAATTGTCAAGAAATAATC